GGTGGCACCCCAAGAGCCTGCTCAGGCCGCCCAACTGCGCTGCCCTGCCCTGGGTCCTTTCATTTTCCCAAGGAGGACGTGGGGCAGCGGTGGGTGAGGATGGAGCATGAGGATTTACGGATGGTCCCCTCTTGGGAGGACGTAGTATAAAGGCGAAGGATGAAGACGGCCCCACCAAGGGCTCTGCAGTGTGTCCCCGGGATGCAGCCTTCAGTCTCGCTCCTCTCGTGCCTCCCCCACAGATGGCCGAGCACATCGAAGGTGTCACGGTCACGTGCGAGCAGCACCTGCACGTGCACTTGGAGGACAGGAGGGCGAAGGACCCCCGGGAGGTCAGGGGCTGGTCTCAAAAAAAAGGGGGAGGCTGTGAGCCGCTGGCAGCACCTGCTGCTGTGCGCCCTCCTTGTTCTTTGGGGGTTTCTGTTTGCTTTGTCGTTTTTTGTTTTTTAATTTTTTGGTGCCTGAGCTGGGGCTGTGCGTGAGGGGTGCAGCCACCGCGTCTCCAGTCTCATCTCCTGTGTCTGGGGTGGCCCCAGCTGCTCTCAGCACCTCCCGCGTATCATCACGAATAGCAAGATCCAGCTGCTTTCCTGCCCAGGATTTTGCGCGTGTTGGGGGCAAGAGGCTGGGTCTGATTGTCCTCTCCAGCACAGGAGAGACCCCATGTACAGCAGACTGGCTCAACCACTATAAAACTGAAAACTTGGGTTCTTTAAGACCTTGAAATAGTTGCTGTGGGGTTGCACAAGGAATAACCTCCTTTAAGGAGAATTTTCAAGCGTGCCACAGGTCTGGCGTAGCATCAGTTCCTGCAGCAGCTTTTGGCAGGAAATGCTGGGAGGACCTTGTCAGTTGGGGTCCCCCTCACTGAGTCCTCGTCTTCTCTTTGACTGGCAGATGTGTCTGCAGCATGTGGCACTGCTCAAGCGAGAACCCGGAGTCACCTTCTACTTCTCGGGGAACGGGCTCTCCCGGGGCCTCCAGTACATTCGGGGGGAGCACGTGGCCACCCTGTCCTCGTCCCCGCCCGCGGCACAGGTGGAGGTGTGCGTGGAGTGCTGCACGCTGGGCGTCTTCGAGCAGTGGGTGGTGTTCGACTTCGGCAGACGCCCCGTCCTCACGCAGAAGATCAAGGTGGAGGTTGGCCGGCGGGAGAGCCCCCAGCATGTCCCCAGCAGCAGGGAGAGCAGCCGCCCCGTCAACTTCGTACGATGGGACAGAGGCAACCGGATCATCGTCCCCAGCATGCCGAGGACCGGCGAAGACGTGGATCTGCTGGCCAAGTACAAACCTCCCGCTCTGGCGCTCGACTACCAACGCGAGGGTGGCAGCACCATCACCCGCCTCAACTATCGCGAGAGGATGCACAGCTTCCTCTTCCGCGAGGAAGAAGCCGAACAGGCTCTGATTGCCAAGTAAGTGCCAGGTGTGGATCCAGAGGGGTCCCTCCTTGCTGGGGACCACGGGCCCTTTGCTGACCCTCAGGGCTGTGCCGCTACTCGAGTCTCTCTTCATTCTGGCTTGGCTCCCAGAAAAATGGAAACCTGCCAAGAAAAGACGGTTTGCTGCGTAGTGATAGGAGGGGAAGGGCTAGGTCTTGTCCTGTGGCCACGGATTAGCTAGAAGCGCAGTTTCTGTCTCTGTGCTCGAGGGGTCTTGGGGTGTAAGTGCCAATATCCCCCCCTTGCAGCAGGCTGATGAATCCGTGGACTGGTTCTCTGTTCCTCATTCGAGTTGTGTCCTCCTTTCAGACTCAACCTGCGGGTCCTCATCTCGCTGACCCCCGTGCTGCAGAGCCTCTCCATGGGGATGAAGTTTGCCCTCGCTGGTGAGCTGTTTGCTGAAGTGCCTACCCCTTACAACCTCTCGCCGGACACAGACGAGGGGTATCTGCTGAGCAGGTCTGTGCCCACTGCTTTCCTGGCACTTGACCCACCTGTAGACAATCGAGTTTACGAGGTTATTGTGGAGCATAAAGCCACCACGGAGAAGACCATCTGGCTACAGATACCGAAGAGATGTTGCTCGGAGCTGAACTTCAAGCCAAACACCTCCCACAAGGTGGAGATCCAGTTCCAAATCGACCAGCTGCTGTTCCGGCAGTGGCATCAGGCTGTGGACCGCCTGCTGGATGAGAAGCTGGTCCTACCAGATGTTGCCAGTTGCTCTGTCCCCTACTCTCTTGGCTCACCACAGAAAGGGAATAGCAAGCAGAAACTAGCCATCTCCTTCATCACAGGCCAGGCAACCACCAGCCGGCAGGTCCCACCTCTGCTCATCTACGGGCCTTTCGGCACAGGGAAGACGTTCACCTTGGCCATGGCCACCATGGAGATCCTCAGGCAGCCCAACACGCGGGTGCTGATCTGCACGCACACTAACAGGTTAGCAGGGGGAAGAGGCAACCAGAGGCGTGGGCTGGGTCCAAGCAACCTGGTGCATCGCTTGTTGGCTGGGATGAGATGGAGCCAGGGTGAATGAGCCGGAGCCGAGCTGCCCTTTTCCTTAGTTTGCATTTCAGTTAGTTGTTCCAATAAATTCATTTTTATTTAATATGACTTGAACTGCTCCAGCACTTCCTGCTAGGAAGCAGCTTGGGTGGTGGAAGTCTTTCTGGCAGAGACAGTGTATTCCTGCCTTGTTATAAAACAGGGATGGGGTTGGAGAGACAGTGAGTTCTCTCTAGCCTTTACCGTGTGCCGGAAGAAGTCAAAAGCTGTTGCCTGACCTTGCTGGCATAAATTGCCCTTGAAGACTATTGTGCTTGGTGCACAAGCCAATTTTTTTGACTTTTCCAGGGAGAGTTTGGGGAAGAGGAAATGCAGATCGGGTCTGACTGCCATTGAAGCTGCCTTTGGAGAAAGCAGGCCAAGATGGTTAAAATTAGAGCAGTCATGCTGAAAGGAGTGTCCACACCCGATCCTGCAGGCTGTTACTGCCTTACTTTTTAATGTATAATAGATGGGTGACTGCTAATCTTAGCCTGTTTCTTGCATGGAAGCTTCCTCTTCAGATCCTATATCACCCGCCTGGGCTGGGGAGGGTTTGCTGTCGGAGCAGGCATCTGTGTGCCTTGGTCCTAAGGGAGCAGCCGGGCCACAGGTTTTGCTAAGCACGTTGCTTTTTTCCATGTGAGCATCGAGAGGTGCCCTAGTCTTGGGTATCAAGTCCTATTTTAAACCACACCCTCGAAACGGGCTTGGAATCGGTGGCTGCATAAACACCATCCTCTTTGCGCGTACGTGAGCGTCTCCTGTGACGAGCGCGTTGTCACCCGAAGCTGGGGGTCTTTGGGTCAGTGAACGGTCAGGCAGCACCTGGGGGCAATGGTCACGGCATTCGGGGAGCAGCACTTACAGTTCCTTGGTGTTTTCCCTTTTTGGTCCCCTCCAGTGCTGCTGACATCTACATCCGGGAGTATTTCCATCACTTCGTGACCAACGGGCACCCGTGGGCTGTCCCCTTGAGGATTATATCCACCGACCGCCCCATCAGCATGACGGACCCCATCACGCAGATGTACTGCTGCCTCTCGCCAGACCAGCGCTCCTTCCGACACCCCACGCGGGCGGAGATCGACAGGCACCACGTCATCATCACCACCTCCATGTTATCCAAGAACCTGAAGGTCGCCCAAGGCTACTTCACCCACATCATGATCGACGAGGCCGCTCAGATGCTGGAGTGCGAAGCTTTAGTTCCGCTCTCCTATGCCACGTTCCAGACTCGGATTGTCCTCGCTGGGGACCACATGCAGATAACTCCAAAGCTGTTCTGTGTCGGGGATGGACAATCTGCTGACCACACCTTGTTAAACCGCCTCTTTCAGTTTTACCAGAAGGAGAGGCACGAGGTGGCCACGAAGAGCAGGATCATCTTCAATGAGAATTACCGTTCCACCGCAGGCATAATCGAGTTTGTCTCCAAGCACTTCTACGTCAGCAAAGGCAACGCTATCCAAGCCAGTGGGAACATCCCGCCCCATCCCGAAATCTACCCACTCATGTTCTGCCACGTGTCTGGCACGGCCGAAAGGGACGTGTCCATGATATCTTGGCACAATGCCTCTGAGATAATACAAGTGATTGAGAAAGTGAAGGAGATCTTTCAGAGGTGGCCAGATGAGTGGGGCATCCGAGATCTGAAGAGGATATGCGTGGTCTCCCATGGGATGCAGGTATGTCAGACTTCCCCACCTGGAAGGGGCTACATGCACTCTCTAAACACTCACTAGTAAATGCTGGACTCTAGTCATGACAAACCTGTCTCTCATGGTACTAAAAATGGGGAATCTGGGGATCTCGCATGCTATCAGTGCTTTTTTGAGGTGCTCTACATTTGGGTACCAGGTCATGGGTGGCTGGAGTGGAGATGCCTCATGGTGGGATGGTTTAGTCGAAGTTTTCCTTTGGCACCTTCTAGGCAGGTTAACTATAGGGCAGACTGGGAGCACTGGCTGGAGTCAGCCCAGGACATGTGGCTGCTGTCGAGTAACTTTCCTGGGGATCCTGCAGCTGAGGGCCTGTGGTGTTGGGTGGGAGGTGTTTCTGAGCTGCAGCTGCGTTCAGTTTGTGCCTATTTCTCTTTCACCAGGTTTCTGCAACAAGACAAGAGCTGAGGAAGAAGCAGCTACAAGATGTTGTGGTAGAAAACTATGAAAACTTGCCAGGTTTGTGTCTTGTGCAATAGTTAGTCATGCCTGGCTGCGTTTCGAGGTCTTCTGTGTGCTGGGGAGAACTTTCCCACTCACGCTGGTGGACGGGAGAGTCTATCACAGCTACAGCCTCTGCGTAACGAGCAGGGGGAGGAGACATTGGGCTGTTAGCAGAGGTCTTCCTGGCATCTTAACATAGTCCTGCTTGCTAAAATGCAAAATGCCGGCTGATCTCATGGGAAAATCCTTCTCTTGGAGGGTGCCTGCAGTGCAGAGCTCCCCTGCCCATCCCCGTGGCTCTGTCACCACCACAGCCCATGGAGCTCCGATCAGGAGAGGGAGTGCCTGGAAATCCTTTGGCTGATTTCCATCCCCTTCTGGCTGGTAATTCTTTGATTTTGCCCTTTCCTTAGTGGATAAGATTTCACACTGAATTAAATCGGCACCCAGCTGTCAGCTCGTTTCAAATACATGGACTGTGCTTTGTAGGAGGGTGAAAAACCCTCTAAGTGCGATTCCAGGGACTTGAGCATGTGTGAATCATGTGAAGCCCCAAGTGCCGGCGGGGGAGGGTTGTCAGAGAAGGGAATTAAAACCAGGATGGCCTGTGGGTACCAGTTGTGGCAAAAAAATCACAGAACTGCTCACTAAAGGAGGAGACTGCTGGTCTGGATGATGAGAGCGGGAGGTTAGGGCTGATTTCATCCTCAAGGCCTTAGTTTATGACTCATCCATTTATTATTATTATTTTTCTTTTATTGTGCAGCTGGGACTCCTAATGGTGAGAATAACTGACCCCTGAGGGGTGTTTCTGATCTCCACACCCTTTCTTTGCAGTCTCCTTCCCAGCTCTGAAGTCACCAGGGTGCCTCTGTCTGTTTATTTGTCAGCAGAACGGTCCTGGAGGGGAGAGGGATTCTTGCAAACAGTCACTTCTTTCCTACAAGACCCTCTGTTTTGTTTTTTTTTTCCCCTGTGAGGATTCACAGAAAACCCCACCCGTGTTTGCGAGGGGAGGCTGGCAGGGGCTGCTGGTGGCACTGAGCACGCAGGGCTGCTCCCGTGCCCGGCCTCTCCCCCATCTCCACGCTGCCCTTCCCTCTCTGGTGCTGGGGGTGGTGGCCTCATGGTGTCTGTCCTGGGTCACGCCCAGAGGCCCTCACGATCCCCAAGAGCTGCTTGAATCACGTCAGGTGACTCCCGCGACCTGGACGAGCAAGGTTGCATCAGCCCACGGCTACGTGACACGGTGTCAATGGCAGCCAGGCAGGGTCCTCCCCGTTGGGTTCCCACAAGTGACTTCTCCCTTGTCCCCTCCGGTGCAGGGCGGGAGTTCCGGGTCATCATCATCAGCACGGTCCACACCAGCGAGAGTCTTCGCGTCTCGGCCTCCCACCACCTGGAGTGCTTCAACGAAGCCAGAGTGCTCAACACCATCATGACGCGGGCTCAGTCACTGGTTGTGGCGGTGGGGGACGCTGTGGCCTTGTGCTCCCACGGGCAGTGCAGCAAGGTGTGGAGGCGTTTCATCCAGCAGTGCATCGAGAAGGGGAGCGTCTTCCCGGAGGACCTGACGATGGCCCAGATCAAACAGGCTGCCTGCGACAAGGAGAGCTGGAGCAGGAGGAGCCCCGAGCAGGACGAGGAGGACAGCGACACAGATTCCTGGAGCTCTGAGGGGGAGAGCATGAATCCCGACGACCCCATCCTCCAGGAGCTCTTAGATGAGAGCAAGAACGTGCTGGTGACGGTGTCCGAGGAAGGGCTGCTGAACGTGAAGTCTGAGGCTTCAAACCTGTGGGAGGACAGGCAGGAATACGTCAGCTTCTCCACTCAGATGATGCAGCAGTATCTGCACATGCACCCCAAAATGTACAAGAGATGCGAGCTGGTCAAAGAAGGGTTTGACAGAGCTTCTGCCTTCACCCTCAACGACTCTCCTGCGATGAGCATTCAGATCAAAGGCAGAGTTCACTGCGGGACGGCCTTCACCGGGGACGAGGTGCTCGTGGAAATCCTGCAGAACAACACGGCTGACAGCGGCAGCCACCGAGGGCAAGGTGGTGGGCATCTTCAAGCGCGCCGAGAGAGAACGCACCTTCATCTGCATGATGGACGAATTCGATCCCCGGGTGATGATACCCATCGATCCCACCGTCACCAAAATATTTGTCCCGGGGCTGAAAGAGAAACCCAACGTCATTCCCATCCGCAGGCTTGTCAACGGGAAGTACAGAGTGGTGAGCTGTGAGAAGATCAGCCAGGAGACGAGGAGATGCCAGTTCTTCTGCGTCCAGGTCATCTCCTGGCGGGAGGGGTTTTACTACCCTTTGGGGATAATAACGGAGATTCTGCACGCGGCGTTGACATTGGAAGAAGGGTTAAAAATCCTTGACTTGGAGTATGGTTTGGAGAAGAAGTACCCAGCTGCTGTCACCAAGGAGTCGGCCAGATACGCTTCCAGCAGCAAACTGAACCTCGCCAAGGAAAATCTGAAGGACTGCCGGAGTTACCCGACTTTCACCGTGGACCCCCAAGGTGCCCGGGATTTGGACGATGCTATCAGCGTTAGGGATCTTGGGCGTCAGTACGAGATCGGGATCCACATCGCAGACGTGGCCAGCGTCATCCCCAAAGGCAGCGCCTTGGACCTGGAAGCGAAGAAGCGGGGTGTCACCTTCTATGCTCCCAGCCAGGAGCCTCTCTGCCAGCCAAGGTGTCTGGAGCCTCCTGCGGCAGAAAGACCGTCGGGTGATCTCCTTGTTTGTCACTGTAGAAAAGGAGACTGGAAAGATGTTAAACGGAATCTTCACCCTCTCCGTGATCTGCTCGGACAGGCAGCTGTCCTATGAAGAGGCAGAGCTCTACATCAAGGACCGCTACAGGGGGGCGGCGAGGGCCCTTCGTTTCGATACCCTGGAGGACTGTATCGCTGTGGCTTATCACTTCTCCAGGATCCATCGCAAGGCTCGGCTGCAGGAGGACTGTTTCTATGACCAGCTGGACGAGGGATGCTCCCCAGGTAACAGGGGGTCCCATCAAATGATAGAGGAGTTAATGATCATGTTCAACAGTTTCGTGGCTGAGTTCCTCACTAACAAGGAGGACACGAGAAATGTCACTCCTCTCCGGTGTCAGTGCGAGCCAAACCTTCAGCAGTTAACGCTCTTGAAAAACAAATACAGCCACGTCCTTCCTTTGTCCATCCACCTCATGCACCACCTTGGAGAGGTGCCTCCTAGCCAACGCTGCTCTAAAAATGTGGAGTTCAGTGTCCTGGCCCCCATCTGGCAGCACCTGCAGTCAGCCGCTACTGTCCGCGACTTCCCCAAGATGCTCGACCTTATCGTAACCGATGACATCCACCCAAAGCTGGCCCCCATGAACCTGGAGTTCAGGAGACTGCTCAGCCGCTCCTATTTCAGTCGCTCCAACTCCACGTACCTGTCCAAAGTGGGCCATTACTCCCTGCATGTCGATTCCTACACCTGGGCTTCCTCTCCCATCCGCCGCTACGTGGATGTCGTGCTCCAGCGGCACCTTCATTCCGTGCTCTGCAAGAAGCCTGTCGCCTACTCCGCGGACGACATTGAGTTTCTCTGCCACGACTTCAACAGGAAGAATTCCCAGGCGACGACGTACGAGAGGAGAGCTCGCTGCTTGCAGATGGCCATGCAGCTGAAGGGCCAGGTCCTGCAGAAGATCGCCTTCGTGGTGGATATCGAAGGGATGAACAGGTATTTTCAAGCCCTGTTCCCACTGAACAGAGAGAGCCTGCCGGATCCCCATAAAATTAGCTACAGGTCTCTCCAGCTGATAGAGCAGCCCATGTTCATCCAGCAGCGGAACAGCATCAAGCTGACGTGGAAGAGGAGGGTGTACTCTGTGGAGACAGCGAAGGAGCACGGCCTGCGGGTAGGACCTCTCTGCGACCGCAGCATCGCCCTCGTGGACACCCAGACTTGGCAAAACGTGCTGGCGGCCATCAGGAGCGAAAAGTTTGAGGAGGCTGCCTCCCTCCTGCGGAAGAGTGAGAAGCTGTACCAGCGGCACCTGGGCTCAGTGAGGAGAAGCCCCTGCTCGCACTACATGGAGCTCTCCTTGGAGCTGAGCGCCGGCAACGCGCTGCAGTTCCAGCTCACCACGGATGTCTCGCGGGGCTTCCTGGTGCCTTTCGTGCAGCTGTGGTGCGTGACGCCGGGTTTTGACGTCTGCCTGCAGCACTCAGAGAAGCCTATCGACTGCTTCTCTGTCTATGCCACCCTGCCCTCCAAAGACAAGTACAAGCATGCCACGGAGTACAGCAAGGTGTGGATGCCGATGAGCGCCATGGAGTCTGCTTCGTGCGCGGTGGCCGAGAACGACTCGATTGTCCTCCACGATGTCAAGATCAAGTGGGCACAGCAAAGGACAAGCAAAGGGCAGCTGCAAGGGAGCTTCACTCTCAAGAAGGCATTTCTGGATGAGTGCTCCATCGAAGTGGACTTTAACCACTGTTACTTGTGCATTCGCTTGGGTGGGCTGAAGCTCGGGAGCCCTCAAAGCGATGAGGATTGCCTCAGCCAAGGCCTCCAGAATCTGACTTTCTTTAACAAAAGCAAGCCAGAAAGCAAACTGATGGTTGATCCGGATACCTACACCTGGGTGGCTCACGGGATCACCGAAGAGTTTGGCGACAGTGAGAAGCCGGACAGAACTGATCAGTACACTATGAACTTCTACATCCACTACATGTCCATGGAGAACATCCCTGTGGAAATCTCGAAGGCCTCTGCCAGGTTCACGGTGGAGCTCATACCAAAGATGCTGCCAGATGTGTAAGTGTGGTCGTGCTCCGGTTAAACCTGTCCTTGCAGAACAACGGCTTTCCCTGGGATTCCTTCACTGCACCCGGCCAGGTTTTGCTCACCAGTGCAGCTGATCCCCTGAAAAATTTTTTCCCAGCTGTTGGGCTGTTGCTTTTTGATGGGGGTGGCACCATCTCTCAGCTCTGTTCTCCAGATGGCCTCTTGCTCTTCTGGTTGACCTTGAGAATGGGGAGGCGAGGGGTAAAGTACCCAAATTTCCTTGGGCATCTGTTTCTTATGTTACTGGATTGCTGCCATATGTGTTGTAAAAGGCAGTGTGAAGCTCTGGATCTGGGGTTGCTCAGTGGAAGTGCTTCCCTGATTTCCCAGACCTTCCCCTTTGTTGTTGCTGTGAAACAAGATCTGCTCTTCCTAAAGCAGAGCTGATGTCTAGTTTGCCCTTTCTTGCATACAGCATGGGCTGCTGCACAACCCTGGCAGCTGGAGCTTTTTCAGGGCAGAATGGGCTTCCTTTTGTATCGTGAATTTTAGGAGGAAAAGAAAAATTCTACTTGCAATCTAATAAAATGGGGTGGGCCATACTAAAATGGAGTTGGGACAGAAGCTGTCCTCCTTGTGGGCTCACCTCTTCAGAGGGTTGAGAGAGAGTCCCAGATGCAAAAGAGCAGAATAAGAGTTGTTTTGGTTTAAGTTCATTGTGGAAGGATTTAATGCAACCGCAAAACAGAGAGCAAGGATAAACAAGACAGTTGTGCAAAGCTGGATTACAATTTCTGCTATTTCGTGCTCCATTCCATTCATTCTTATTTTTCCCTGTCCGTCAGACGGAAAGAAAAGGCAATTTGGAAGCTCAAGTACGCCTCTGATCTTGCTAAAAGCATCGCCCTTGGCCATGAACCTCCTAAAAAAGGTGGGTACAAATATTCCTTTTTCTTACTTTGTTGTTACTTGCTTCTGGCTGGGCAGGTGGCCTGGCAGCGTCCATGGGTCCTTGCTGTCAGGCTTATGCTCCCAGACCAGGAGGTTCCCCTGTCAAGGGGAGGAGGAGGAGAGGAGCTGCTCGCCTGGCAGAGGGAAGGGAACGTGGGGTGCCTGCTTGGAGAGTGGCACGGGTGATATCTGAGTCCCTGGGACGCACAGAGAAGGTTCATGGGTGAAACATCTTGGCACAGGACGAGGGTTACGATTAGGTGGTCTTGTAAATGGGCCGTGGTTGCTTGGTACCTGCCACATCCTCCTGTTGAGTCACTCGTGTGCTGACTTCAGTAACTTGCTTTAAACTTGTTTTCCCGGGTCTTTGCCGTTAACAGCGACAACGTCCAAAATCCTGCATCAAAAATCCTTTGATCTCCCTGGCAGCAGCAGGAAGCTTAACCACAGCCAGAGCCAGGCTATTCTGAATGCTCTGAGAAAACCCTTCACGCTCATCCAAGGCCCACCAGGTAAGGCTGGATGGACAGCACGAGTACCTGCCCCCTTTGTTGAGAAGGTTAGAGCTGACCTGTCCTTTCCGTAGGACACCTGGTGAGAGAGGAGAAGGCAGCGGTGGGTTGGCATCACCTGTAGCTCTTCAAGGCAGCCCCCTCAGTTCTTGATTTATATTTTTTTTTTTAATGGCTGATCATCCAGATGGTGATCTAGAGCACGAGTGTCGTGGTTAAAGTGTTCTTGGCAACCTCCTTGTCTTTCTAGGCACCGGTAAAACCGTTGTTGGAACTCATATTGTCTACTGGTTCCATAAGCTGAACGAGGAGAGCCTTGAGAAGGAGGAAACGCCGTCCTCCGAAACAGAAAATCCCAAGAGGAGAAAGTGCATCTTGTACTGTGGCCCCTCCAACAAGTCTGTTGATGTTGTTGCTGGTAACTATTGCTTTTAGGCTCCCGAAGTGGCTTGTACTGGTGGCTGGGAGCAGGAGGGGCAGAAAGCGGGACTGAGCCTTGCGGAAGAGCCCTCACTGCTGGGCAGGGTCCGGGTTGATGAGCGAGGGCTGGGGAGAAGAGACAAGCACACGGCAAGCACTGGGCACCTCGTGGGCCAAGAGCTTCCTCAGCATGGCCAGTGCTGTCTGAGCAGACCCTCTTCTTCTCCAGAGATGCTGCTGAAGATGAGGAACCTGAAACCACTGAGGGTTTACGGGGAGGCCATTGAGACGATGGAATACCCGTACCCAGGGAGCAACCGGCAGCTCTCCCGCAAAGCCCTGCGGGATGCAAAACCCAAGCGTGAGCTCAGGTAGGACGATGTGGCCCCATGGACTCTGGGAGTGCTGGGAAGTGATTGTTTTCTGCACCAGTAGAGCTGAGCAAGCCAGAGCAAATGTGGTTTCCACTCTACTACTGTGGAGCAGCCCTGGTAACCTGCTTTGTAATTAATTTTTTTCAAGGGGAGGTGTATAGCAGCTAGTCAGGAAACCCAGGTGTTGAAAAGATCCTAGATGCTTTCACCTCTCTTTTGACCAGCTCTAAAAGTCTCTGACTTCATAGCTAAAGAAAAGGGGTTGTATTTTGTGTCCACCAGGGTGAATTGTTAGGTTTATAGAGATGGAACAGTTTGGCTGTAACTTCTTTAGTTAATGGAGTTTCTCCACATAGACAGCTGTGGTCTTCTTCACTGTAGAAGATCACTTGGGTCTGTATTGAGGGAAGATAGTTATATATTGATTCTTTACCCAGCGAAATCATCCTGCATCATCGCATCCGGCGGCCGCCCAACCCTTTTTACAAGGAGATCTGTAACTTTGATACTCGGATGAGGAGAGGAGAGCAGATAACAGAAGAAGAAACAAAGAGGTGAGTAGAAAGAGACCCTCGTGAGAGACGGCTGACTTTGCCACGTGCTGCCTCTGAAGGAGTGGGGCGCAGCCATCTCCTCCCCTGCGAGGAGAAATTTGGGCTGTATTTGCAAAGTCTCAGCTGACATAGACTCATAGACTTTGTGAAAGTCGGTGGATTTGTGCTGGCTTGTGCAAGCCAAGGGAGCAGGTGAAAACGTCAAGCCAGGAAGTGGTTAGCTCGGGGTTAGCAGTACAGCACAGAGCCTCAGCATCCTGTGCTGTTGTCCGTCTGGACTGAAAGTCATATTATGTGTGTGGCACTTGTATCCTCTGCCATGTTGAGGTCAGGACAAAGTGCAGTTCCCACTGTGTCTCTCCAAAGCCCTTTTCTGGGAACACCGGCTCATCCTGGGGAGGGAGGTGGAGTCATAATCCTTTGGGAAAGTCCAGCATCTGCCTGGTTCTGCCATGAAGAACCTGGAGATGTTTGCCTTGTGCATAACCTGGGACCTTTTGCATCGACCACCAGGTACAAAAGAACGTTGTCAGATGCTCGTGCGCACGAGCTGGCAAAGCACGATGTCATCCTGTGCACGTGCTCCGCCGCGTCTGCCACCTCCCTGGAGCACCTCAACGTCAGGCAAATAATCATCGATGAGTGTGCCATGTCCACGGAGCCCGAGACCCTCATCCCCTTGGTCAGCCATCGCCGTGCTGAGAAGGTATGTGCCTTCCAGGATGCGCCTCTGGGATGGCTGCTCAGGGCTCCCAAACCTCCGTGGGAATTCCACCCCTTACCATGCTTCTCTTCCAAGTCTTACCAGGTTTTAAGGTTGTTCTTTGTAATATCTATGATGGTGCGTCAGTGTGGTGGAGAACTGTTGTGTCTCTGCTGTGCGTATCAGCTCAGCGCTCTGTCTTCAGACATTTGCACCCATACGGTCTCCTCTACAAGAGAAGAGCGGTCACACGGCTGCGTTTTTGGTGCTTCTTGACAGGGTGGGTGTCGCTGCCACCAACAAAATGTGCTGACCCAGGTATAAAGTGTTAAAGTGACAAGAAGTGTGGAGCAGAGCTCAGTAGCCTTATCAGATGGGAACTAGGCTCCGCGTTATCTGGGTCAGGATCTTTATGTAACGTCTGATGCGGTCCTTGATTGAGGTTGCTGTAACCATCACATACATAAGGAGCAACGAATGTCTGCATGCAAAGAGCCTTTCGAAGAGCTGGTTGCCTTCACCAGTGCCGCCAGCCTCGTAGCTGAGGTGTCCCCTCTTTGTTCCAGGTTGTTTTGCTTGGGGATCACAAACAGCTGCGACCGGTGGTCAACAATGACTTCTGCAAGAGCCTGGGCATGGAGACGTCTCTCTTTGAGCGCTACCGCAGTCAGGCATGGATGCTGGATACGCAGTACCGCATGGTGAGGCCTTCCTCCAGCGGGTTGTCTTTTCTCTCTCTTGCAGAAAATGCTGCTGTCAGGGTTTGCCTCAGGCTACTGGGAAGCAGATACTCTCCATTAGTGCCTTCCCTTCCTAGAGTAATGAATAATAGCATAGCAGCATCGTAGGTGAAGCCTGCCCAGAAAGATTGAGGTTGAGAAGGAGGCTGAAGGAGCTGGGATTGTTCGGCCTGGAGAAGAGAAGGGGAACCTTATCACTGCCTGCAGTGCTTGAAGAGAACCTACAGAAAGGCTGGGGAGGGACTTTCTACAAGAGTGTCCCGTGATAGGACAAGGGGAAATGGATTTAAATTGAAGGAGAACAAGTTTAGATTGGATCTTAGGAAGAAATTCTTCAGTGCGAGGGTGGCAAGACCCTGGAACAGATTGCCCAGAGAGGCTGGGGCTGCCCCCTCCCTGGAGATGTTCCAGGCCAGGTTGGATGAGGCCCTGAGCAACCTGGGCAGGTTAAGGGCATCCCTGCCCATGGCAGGGGGGTTGGATCAGATGATCTCTTCCAACCTAAGCCATACTATGAAGTTCCTTGGGTTTTATTCACCTCTTTCTCCCCTGTTCTCTGCCAGCACAAAGGCATTTGCGAGTTCCCATCCCAGGAGTTTTACGAAAGGCGGCTGAAAACATGCCCCGACCTTCTTCGTAAACCCAGCGTCTTCTACCACAAAGATAATGCCTGCTGCCCTATCGTCTTCGGGCACGTGGAGGGGAAGGAGCAGAGCCTCGTGATTTCGACCGAGGAAGGAAACGAGAACTCCAAAGCTAACCCAGAAGAAGCGGAGCAGGCGGTGAGGAGGGTCCTGGGGAATCGCTGGAGATGCAAAAAGCAGGGAGAGTGTTGTGCAGGGGTGACTCTGGGGTGGTAGAAGGATGAGTAGTAGTGATACGGGATAGAGGTTGGTGGGGTGAGGTATCTGCCTGGCTTCTTGGGTCTAGAGCAGAGCATGATGCTCCTGGCCAGAGGGAGCTGTGGGGAAGAGTGACCCAGAGCTGGAGGAGCAGCCCTGGGGACAGCAGGGCTGGTTTCCTCTGCTCCAAGGTGAGCAGGAGCCTGGTTGTCCCCAGGTGAGGGTGGCGAAGCAGTTGACACTAGATGGCACCATCCGGCCGGAGAGCATCGCCATCCTGAGCCCCTACAATGCCCAGGTGTCCGAGATCAGCAAGGGCCTCCTGAAAGAAGGTGTCCGTGGGGTGACCGTCTGCACCATCATGAAGAGCCAAGGTGAGGCTGGCAGGAGAGGGGAGGGTTGCTTCTCTTCTCTCCTGCCTTTCCTGAGGGCTGAAGCCACTTCTCACAGAGACAGTCTCTGAGCAAATCCTGCACCCTTTGAGCCACGGAGGAGGCATCCCAGGGCCAGATTTGCTGGGGGATTTGACTTTGTAATAAATCCTTTGGAAACCCCCAGGGTGCCTGAGCAGGGTGAAATTGCTGGAGATGGGAAGGTGGAGGATGTCTGAAGGGGGTGTTGAAGAACTGCCACAACACGTGCTTTTTCAGAGCAACGACTTGGGAGTCCAGTGGCCTCCAAAGCTGGAGAAACCTAAACGGTGTCTGCAGGGCTGTGGGTCTTGCTGTAGAGAAATGAGTGTCTTGTGGGGTGGAAGAGTGGCCAGATGCTGCCTTCTAAAAAAAGTCCGGTTCAATCCCACTTTCTAGGAAGTGAGTGGAGATACGTGATCCTGTCAACTGTGCGCTCCTGCCCCCGCTCGGAGATCGATCAGAAGCCCACGAAGAGCTGGCAGAAGTACCACCTGGGCTTCGTTACTGACCCAAACCAGGTCAACGTCGGCATCACGCGAGCCCAGGAAGGACTCTGCATTATAGGTGGGTCTCCTGGGAGTGTGCACGGGTCTGCAGGGAAACAGTGTGCTCAGGTAAAGGGGTGGAGATCTGAACTAGTACAGCTGGTAGTCTTGCTTTTTCTGCCCTTTAGATTGTCCGTGGTTTTGAAACTGGGCACTCTGTGCAAAGCAGAGACCCGTGCACAGCTCGTATGCAGGATGTGCAATTAGTTTTTCTCACCCTCTGGTTCAGACCACATTGTTTCTGTTGCTTGCACACTAGAGCTCTCTCTTAGCAGCATTTGGCTGCTTGTTTTCCTCCTCATCAGGCAGGCGTAGGCTGGGATGTGTTGGGAAGCTGAGGGAGATGGTCCCTGCGAGTTATCCAGCACCCTTAGGCTCGAAATATTAGGCAAAAATTTCCATGAGTGATGCGCGATGGTGTCACCCGAGCCTCTTCTGGCCACTAACCCGCTGCCCCCATCCCTGTGCCCACAGGGAACCGGTACCTCCTGGAGTGCAACCCCTTGTGGAGGAGGCTGCTGCAGCACTACAGGCAGCACCACTGCTACGCCACAGCCCAGGGCATCTCTGTGAGGAAGACTCCAGCCCTCCGCCGGTGAGGATGGGTTGCGCCTCCGACGAGCTCTCTACTTGAACTGCGTTACGTGTGCCTTGGGAAGGACGCGACCTTCCCATTCTTGGATGACCCCGTTGGAGCCAAAGGCAGCGGAGGAGCCGGGATCTTCCCCCGCATGGTGACAGCTCAGCTGCCGTGCAAGCTTTGGCCCCTTGGGGTTGTTTTTAATCAGCGGACAGGAACCTTCAGCTCTAGCAAACCAAAAAGCATTGGAAGCGGATGGACGGGTGGGTTGTGATTTTATCGAGGATGAACTATTTTTATTTTTTAAACTGTAAGATGCTCAGCGGAGCCCCCATCCTACCTGCCAGTGCAGCTGCGCTTTGGGGACCAAATAATCCATTCGTCAAGGGTGGAAGGACTGCACGCAACGGAGCCGCGCCGCAAGCTGCGACTTGCCATAGAGGACCAAAGCTTCTCGAGTGCTACCACTCATTTTAAAACCAAGGCCAGGGAATTCTTTTAAAGCTTCTGGTTTCTCAAAGCAGAGGAACAATTTGTTTTGTTCTGTTTGGTTTTTTGTTTGGGGTTGTGGGGGTTTTTTTTAAGTGAAGGAAGAAAGCAAAGAGAGCGCCGCGTGCCACTCTTTGTCAGCCAAAACGCTGTTCTCTGAGCGTGTAAATATTACGGAACCAAGGCCAAGTTGATTTTGTAAATAGATTTACTTATTCTTTGTACAAAGGAGGTTGTCCTCACTAGGATAAAGTTAATGAAAAGCGAGGCGCGCTCCTACCAGGAAACGTTGGAATTTGTAAGTGTATTTTAAATCGACTTTTATTTGAAATCTCCTCCTGTATAATCCTCCCTCTTTTTTTTTTTAAATCTGCTTCTAATTTATTAACTTTTAACTCTGTGGATTTGTTTCACAGTCTTATGGCCCAAGTTTTTAAGAGTAATGATGGGAATTTGACAAACGTACCATAGCATATATGTGTATAATGTATTTTGTTTTTAATTATTATTGTAAGTAGCCAAACTGCTGTGAACTGGAAGCTGTGATTCACTAGAGAAGGCTGCTTTTGCCCCGCCTTGTGTGGCCAATACAGCGGTGAAGCAGTGCTCTCTCTGCTGAATCACGGAGCTGCTTTTTGAAGGAGGATATTTTTGAAGGGGGGGTTGTCTTTTATCTCATTTCAATTCTGAATGTATGAAGTGCCTGCCTCAGCTCTCCTCAAGACCGCGCTTGGCTGTCTCTAGGTGTTCACATGGGACGGAGCCATGGTGCAACCACAGTGGTTTTCCACCAAGGATTGGCTGTGCTGGGACACAAATCCTCCTTGACCTGGGCGAGGGGTCCCCACGACTTCGTAGCAGTCCAGCAAGGATGGGGTTTGTCCCGCCTTTGCCCTAAAAAGCGCAGCGTGGCTCTTTTCAGTGTAGAGGAATGTGCAATAAGAAAGCGTTGTGTCTGGAGAGGTCCTTATTTAATGCCCTGTTTCTTCTCGTGACTCTGTCTAGACTTGACTCAAGAACCGACGGGGAAATCCCGGTGTTGTCTTCTTTGTTTTAAACTACCTTCTTGCACTTCTGCGTTTGGTGGGTTTGATCTGTACGCCAGAGACCACCCAGGCTTGCTCTTGTCTTGCTGAAGCATCATAACAGGCGATTCCGTGAGGGACAAAAGCCCAGAGGAAGCATCTCCTGCTGCCTCTGAAGATGATTTTGATATGAGTTGATAAAATGTAGAGTTCGGTGTTCCTCTGTGAAGTCATCCTGGCTGGGATCTTAAAGGGTTCTGCACCAGCCTGATTTGGCAAATAGTGTGATTCCAAAATAAGCTCCTGTAGGAGTCATTTTTAAGGACTACTGAAATGCAATCATGTATCTATCTCCAAGATGATGCGGAGAATTGCGGAAAATGCTGGAATTGTTGGGATAAATACTTCCACATGGTGCCAGCATCATTCTGACAAAGTTATCTTTGGTCCCTTTAGAACCAGTGGGTCTCATTTCCATGGTCTAACGTAAGTGAAGAGTCTCTCTCCCTTTAGTTCTTTTTCTGCTGGTTATTTCATTACACGTAACACAAACAAGGAGACTCCCCCCCAAAATGTAGCAGTTAGCCCAATGCTCTTGCGTGGGGTTTAGCCATGGACCAAGAAAGAAAACCTCACAAAGCATCTCCCTTTGCCCTGAGCGAGGAAATAATGGTTAGTGCAAACCCTTGGAGGGCAAAGCCTAGACTGAAATGCTTTGGTCGGGTCACTTTTGAGTGGCAAGATTATATAGTTGGTGTTTTTTTTTTTTCCTCTGAGGATGCATTTTATAACTGGTTTTTAGAAAACATGTTGAGACCACATGAGCAGCAGCAAGCAGCCAGGCTGGACTCTTGGGCTATGAGCAGGTACCTGCAGAGCTGGTCATGCAGCTGCGATAGTCAGGGATAGCAGAAAGTGCAATTAATCAAACTTTATTTTACAGACTGTTAGTGACAGCTGAATATCACATTCTTGTCCTTAGGCTGATGGATAGAGAGAATCATAGAAATTAATAGAGAAGAAAAGTTAAAAGCAGTCTGGTTTCATCTGCACACGGAGCTTTGAATTTACTTTTGAGAGAATTTTATGTTCAAGCACAATTTTATGTTCAAGACCAAACATTTGGTAATTCCAGTAGGAAACCACTGGCAGCATGGTACGCCGGGTACCTGTCCGGTCACAGGCTCTACATTTTCCACAGCTCACAGACAAAAGACCGTTGTCACAGGACAGAAATGCTGGTTCATCAGAAAGGAGAACGCAATTTCCTCGGCGGTAGCCAGAGCTCAAGCCCAGGTTGAACCCCGGGACTGCCAGCGAGCCAGCGCCAGCCTGGGACGGTGCCGGCGGTCACTCGAGCTGGCAGAAAAATGTGGGACGTGCAGGATGAGGAGAACCTCTCCTTGGCTCCAGCAGGCAAAGGAGAATCCCACTGGACTGTTTTCAAGGATTTGGACAGATCCATGTAGGACAATCAGTTTACTGCAATAAATTGTTGTTGGTAGTTTTGTTTTGGTTTGTTTTTTTTTTAAAGAGAAATGAGATGTTAAGTGTCATGAAGTGTATATTAAGGGACTTGAAATGTGGCAGGTTTTTATCTTTTGTATGTCTGTGACTTGCAGCAAACCTCAATTGACCTTTTGGATACAAATATTTTTACCTGCTTCTACCGTTTATAAGAATGAACCTCAACATTCCTTTTTTTTTTGATATTTAAGCCATAATTGTAAAAATGATTTGAACTTATTTAAATAATAAATTTTCTTACGAAAAGATCTGCTTAGGTGAAGACTTGAATCTGTGGGAGGACAGCTATAGTCGGACAGAACCAAGTGGTAAAAAGTGAGCATTAACCTCAGTATGTGGCTGAAAAGGTTGTTTTCTACATATTGGTTGTGTGAATGTGTTACCCTTCTCTGGTTATTTGGGGCACTTAGGGGCTGGCTGGGGTTTTTTGGGGGGGTTCTTTTAACCAAAGTGATCTTTTCCAGGAGCAAGCATGAAGTCATGCTTAGGTGCGTACAAGGTACAGGTGAGAAGAACGAGCAATGGAGATAAGTTCAGAAGAATGATTTGTGGAGCTTAGGAAGCAATTCAGGTGTTTTGGAGGAAGGACATGAGGTGGGGGGGAAAAAATAACTTGGGGTAAAAAAGCCGAACCAACATCACTGCAAGATCACTGGGCATCTTTTAGTGGATGAAAAGCACTGGGGGATGGAGATGCTTTTATCTCCAGTGCTTTGCACCTGAGGTGTCCTGCAAGACCTCCGGCTTCTAACCGCTCCTGCCTAGGAGGTCTGGCAGGGGGAAGTGAGTGTGGAGCCCGGAACGCTGCCTTGGGGTGTTACCTCGTGTGAAAAATTTGGAATAAGTCACCATTAGCCTGGAAAAATCAGGGCAAGGCGCTTGCAAAATTCATGTTGAAAACAGAATGAGTCGGTCTTATGCAAAACATTCAGAGGTACAATTTACATTTATTTTTCCTCATTCTTCTCCTCCAAACAGGTGAAATGAGAAGAATGTTCTTAGTTGTCACCTTGTCCTTCTGAGGCATCAGAGCTGCTGTCCGTGCCTTCAGTGTCATCAAGTTTTGTCTCCAGTATGATGCTGTCCTCCCATTTTTGAAAGACACACATGTGAGCATCTGTTCTTGTAATGGTGAATTTGTACGATCTGGCAGGCTGCAGGCGCCGGACAACACACGTGTTGGAGGTGACTGTCTGAAGACTGCTGTAGCCCACGTCTTTTGGACTCCCGTTTGGCAGTAACTTCACATAGAGCTCATATCTTTCGGGGCTTGACTCTTGATTTTCAGTAAACCACTTGAGCTTGGCCCAGTCCTTGCGTGCAAATGATTCTTTTTGATCAAAAATCAGCGGTGTCTTTTTAAGGAGAGAAAGCCTAATGTTAGGAGAGATTCGTCCTTCAAAGGGAAACACCAACTGGTGCTTGACGTAGAGCTGTCCTGCCACTTGCAAGGAAAGGAGTTTTTCCCCAAACTTAGAGAGCTTGGACATTCTCTTTGTAATCAAGTCCCACCGGGAGTGGAAAGACACCACATCACAGGTCTCTATGTAACGGCTCAGCTCCTCCCGACCTCGTTCCAGCTCGTCCAGCAGACTGGTTAAAAGCGTCAGATTAATTTCAATTTGGTCTTTCCCCACCTTCTTCATCCTCTGCAATTGGCGGAGGTCTATTATTTGCAAGATGTTGGTTTGATGAATCACGTGGTTCCGGTCTCTCACGTTAACGTACTTGGGCTCAATGTCCAAGTAAAAGGAGCACTTCTGGAGCAGCTCAGCTCTGTTCCGGTGGTGCTGGAGGTGCTGGAGGCTCAAGTCAGAGCTGAGGAACTGCAGAACAAGATTTTTCCTCTCCAAGTACTGCTTCCAGCTGGCGCTGTCACCTTGCTCTTCGCTGTCCGCAGTGCTCTTCGCACTGGGTTCAGATTCATTCAAAATCAAAGACATAATTCGAAAGCTCAGTTGCTCTGTAAGAAAGCAGCAACAGTAACATTAAGAACCAAAGGAAAAGCATCCGCAAGGGAATATAACCATGGCTGTGACTCTTCTCTCCTCTCTTAATTAAAGCTTAGCTTATAAATTTATAGATGGCAAAGAACTGTTAGACTAGATGTAGTTCCAGAGGAATTTTCCTTTATGATTTCTAATGTTTTATATAGTCTACTTTTCTATGTTCCAGCCAACTGGTCTCCTGCTACCCCCCGCTGAGGGCTTCTACCTCTGCTTAATAGATTCACTGTCAGGAACTATTCCCTGATACACTCTGCCAAAATTTCTCCCTATCTTATTATCTTCAGTTTCATTCTAATTAGATGCCTTTGTACTCCGGTAAGCAATTTCTTTCCATTCTCCTACATCTCTGGAGATGTCTATTTTCCTCTTTGTAATCTGCCAGGCTGTTGAGGTTTGAGACCCATCTTCTAAGCCAATTCCTGCAGCTACAGAATCACCTTGGTGATTCCAATTAACCCTCTGCCCCCCAAGCGAGCTGGCACACAACAGCCAGAGCCGTGCAACACGCTGAGTGCCGCCTCACAACGGCTTCCACGAGGAATGCAGGCGGTTTTTCCTTGCACCTCTACCTTCAACAGTGGGTCGACAGCCGTAACCTCACAACATTTGCAGTGGTTTATTGCTTTCCCTTCCTTTGACCTCAGTTTACATCATCCCCTCAGCCCACAATACCTACTTGCTTTCTTGGAGAACGCTGTTGATTTGAAATCTATACAGAATTCTGAAGGTCAGATGGTGTGACCTCAGTCAGACTGCGATGATACGCTCTACCAACAGGTACTTTTCCTCATTCTGTGTAATTTCCTGGTTATAATTATTTAAGTTTTTGTAGTATCTAACCGGGATATTTTAATTCTTATGTGTTTTGTAGAAGCTAGATGGTGATATCCAGTTGACAAAGCAATCTATCTTAGCCTCATTTTCTTATAATATTTCCTCGCAGGAATTTCAAGCGTTTGTAAACCCTTCAAACGTCTGGCCCCTAGCCGCACTACAATTTACACCAATTCACAGCAACTTTTCTCTCAAGAGAGCTGACAACTTAAAAAACAAGCTGTACTTCCTTTTCACTTTTTTCTTTCCACAATGAAATAGAAAATACAAAAAGCCCCCACAGTAAACCAACGCAGTGCCAGTTCCCAGCATCCCCGTACGGAGCACAGCACGCACTCCAGGTTACGTTATCCCGCTTTCTTGGCTCCCTAGAGCAGTCTGTTTGCCCACAGACTGAGCTGTGATTGTGCTTGTTTTCCCTTTCTCTTTTTATATCCATTTTTTCCCCCTCTCCTTTGCCAGAAGCAGCTGTTTTCCCGGTAGCTGCTCTGTTTGCAGCCTGGCAGGCTGCAGTCCCCCAAACCAGGGTGTAGCCCAACCCAGGGCTTGGAAGGGGTCACCTCTGGGTGCCGGGGTCACCCCAGCACCCCCAGCCCACACCTCAACACCCCCCGGCTTGGGGACACGGCAGCACTGTCCCCACGGCCCAAACCCACCACGGGGCTGTGGCCTGGGGGTGAAACCCCTGCTCCTCCGGCAAGGGCCGAGGCCGGGAATGCCCGAACATGCTTCTTGCCATCCCTGTGTGAGCCCCCGACCCACCCTGTGTGAGGACCCGGGAAGCT